CAGGGTTACACCCTCAAATCCAGCACTGACAGGAAATAAAGCTGAAATTTTGATATCCCTCTGCCTAAATCTCTTGCCTGTCAAAGTAAGTTCCTAAATCAAGAAGAGAAAAGGAGTTATTTATTGACTCCTTAAAACCCCATCTTCCAACACTGTTATATGTTGTCGACTAGACTTGATCTTTTTTTAAACCCCGCTAGACAGTTAATGTTACAAGTTTTATATGTGAATTAATTTAATAAAGTTTGCATTTCCATAATACAGCTCTATGATAGAGGCCTATAAAATGGAGATGTGTAAAAATTTCTTTGGAAGTTTTCAAAATGCATTGTTCAATTCATATTGATTTTATTATTAAGCCACTTAAAGAGAAGCACCAACTCTTGGAATTTTTCTTCAACAACTACTAACTCTAGAATAGTGTTTCTCTAAGTGTACTGAACTATTAAATCAATAGTTCAATAAAATATGACTCTTTTGGGTTTCATAGTCAAAGAAATTTGGAAAACATGAAACTGTAACACCCCTCCTGCAAATTGAAATTGTGTATTAGCTTAGAAGGCTCTAAGAAGTCCTGAAGTAAATAAATTGGTTTATTTCACCCTTCTCCCTTACCATCTATCAGTATGCTATGAAACCAATATTCTAGCTTCCCCATTCTCAGAAGTTACAGGGGTTCCCAACCAGGAACCAGGCTGCACAGCAGGAGGTGAGCAGCAAGCAAGCAAAGCTTCATCAGCATTTGCAGCTGCTCCCCTGCGTCAGCATCACCGCCTCAGCTGCACCTCAGATCATCAGGCATTAGATTCTCCTATGAGCACCAGTCCCTGGTGCCAAAAACGTTGGGGACCGCTGCTCTAGAAGATGTTTCAGCGGTCAGATTTTTGTTAATACTTATATCTTCTAGATAATAAATCAGTGAAATGTTATTGTGTATCTTCTCTAGAAGATGTTTCAGTGGTCAGATTTTTGTTAATACTTAAATCTTCTAGACAATAAATCAGTGAAATGTTATTGTGTATCTTCTCTAAGTTATCAGTTAATTTGTTACAAGAATTTCCAACCATAACTGAGGAATTATATAAAATTTGCAAGGACAGAGGTTGTGTATTTTTAGATGGTCATTGTATCTCTAGTGCTTGGCAAAGGCCCAGCACACAGTAGCCACTCAGATATTTGTCAAATGAGTGAGCAGATGATATAGATCTAATCCAGAGATGTGAATAAATACGCTCCCACATTTAAAGTTGTCTTATTTAAAAATAGAAAGTCCAAAGAGCCTTACACCAACGAGCTTTCCAGAGAAAAAAGGAATATGACAATAGACTTCACTTCACTTCTACCAAATCCAATTTCTCCTTGGATCCTAAAACAGCTCACATATTCATCTAAAGAGCGAAATGCCAATTTGTAATAATAAAACTGGATTTGGCAACAGAGGTCGTGCTTTAGGTCTAAAGGAGGGATTCAAAACTTCACCTCATGTAAGTTATAGAATAAAGACAGGACCTCTGGGAAGACAAATGCTGAGACCAGATTTGATATAAACTACAGAGAAAAAGTTCTTTCTCAACTCTCCTTATCCAAAGCGAGGCATTTAACGCCTAGGTTTTCACATCTATACTTGCAGGTCGATCGCCTGAGACCACTAAGGAGGATTTATTATATTACCATAGACGAATGAGGCAGTTATCAAACAGCGAACCGTTGACTCTGTGTACCATTCCAAAGCCAGGAAATGTTCAATGTTAGCAGTCCTTAAAAAAAAAGTTAAATCCCCAAACCAACAACCATGTTCATTTTTAAAACTATCAAGAAAAATGTCCTCCAGTCATTAAGTCAAAAGGGTAACCTCGGGAAAGGAATCTATATTATCAACCATTTTCAAAGACAGAGAAAGGAGAGTGTGATATAAAGGTAATATTTTTACACAAAAATATATTCATTCAAACTGTAATATATCATTATATGTTGTATAAAATAATTTCTAAAACTTTTGAAAAGAAAACATTTGTTCTGTAAGACCCTGGTTTGAAGAAAAGAGAAATCTACCTACTTCTATGTAAATACCTAGACGTTTCCCCTTTTTACGTTTGATTTTGTACTATAGTCTCTGAACCAAATTTAAGACAAATAGACTGAAAAAGAATCTGTGCTATTTGGGGGTCTGAGAGTTTGGGTGCTGAAACATTAGAAATCATGGGACCTAAATTCATAACAACAGCTGGGCATAATATTGTAACTTGTCTCTGACCTGGAAAATCTAGGTTATTAAATTATTAAGTAGCATGAGACTTATATTTTCTATAATTTTATAGCTCTCAATATCATACTGAAAGGGTCCCAGGAAATCCTCTTTTAGGGCCTGAGTTCCCCCAAAAAACAAGTACAACTTTGTAAGAAGACTTTCTCCCTTTAGTCACTAGATTTTTCCTGGTGTATTTAGTCTGGAGATTGTAAATCTCAAAGAGGGCAATGAAACTTGAAGGTAACGCAGCAATTTGAATGTAGGTGCACAAGCCACGTTTGGCAGGCAGAGGCAGGACTAGCTTTTGGTGGTATGGTTGGGAAGGTCTGGTGGGTCACCCGGCTGTGCCTTGATGACTATCCAGCTACCCTTGCTAAAACCAGGACCACTCAAGCAGTCTCAGGGCCTTCTCTCCAACAGCCAGGGAAACGAGGTCTTCAGCTGCTCCAGATCACTCTTCTTGAGCCTGCTCAGAACTGTAATTCTTCCTGACCGGGAGTGAAACGAGATCTAGAGGCTGGGCACTTTCTGCACTGACTTTCCTGAGAGGTGAGGCCGAGTAACCCCGTTCTTCTCAACATGCTGCGGATCCTCCCATTCCAGAAGAGAAAAGAATGATCTCAGCGTTCTGTTACTATGAATGTGAGTGTGGTCTCTCAGAAGAGGCCCACTTGCATAGAGGCAAAAGGACTTGCACCTGGTTTGGATCTTTAAAATTAGTCTTTAAAAGGAGCAACACTAAAATAAATGCTTCATTTAATACTTTTGTAATGTACAGCTTCAATGTGATAATATACATGTATATATATACATATATTCTGAATATACAATACATGAATATATATACTCTAGGACCAATGTGACTTTCATGGATTCATTTGCTGAATCAGAAACAGGCACTGTGCCCAATGGGAATCAAATTAAAAGTTCTACCTCTGCTCTTCACAAGTTTTCCACAGCATTTTGAACACATGGAGTGTTTTCAAGAGCAGATTCAGAATGGACTAACATTTATTGAGAGGCTTCAGGGTCACAGGCTCTGTGCTATGTTTTACCTATGTAGTGCCATTCAATCTTCATGGTGATACCAAACCATCTCCGAGGTGGGTGTTATTTCCAGTTTGCAAATGGAGAGTGACCTCTCAAGTGTTACGTCTTAGAGTCACAAAAATAGTGACAGAGCAGTTATTTTAAGTCAGGTAGTCTTATCAAGCCAGGTCCTTATTCTATGAACCACACTGCTCCCTACAGACCAGACCATAATAATATGGGGTACCACACGGGACTGAGAATGTCTTCAAACAATTGAAAGATTTTTCTAGATTTATCTGCAAGAGTATACTAATGATTTGTGAAAAGGTTATCAATCTCATTTATAATATACTTTTCTACAGTTTCTTTCTATGATATCATCCTATGAAACAAATTACAAGTTTCTCAGAACTGGGAACTAATAAAAAAAGTATTTGGTCATATGAAATTGATAAATAAAAAATACACAAAGCATTTTCCACTGTTGTCCTCAGTACAGTAACTAATATTTTTATGGTTAAAAAAAAAGTTACTTTCTTTCCCTCACTTTGAAACAGGCAAGCTCCATTTCCCAGTAACAGTTGCTATTCAAAATTGCTATTTCTAAAACAAATTTTTTTTCTGCTACATTATGATACATTGTGGTCTAGGGTACTTAATATGCAAATTGCTAACATAACTTAATATTATCTTCCCTCCTGTTGCTCTTTAATTTGGCATTGAACAGCTGAGGTTTGAAGTTTTAATCAAAGAGCATTGAATTAGGTAATTTGTAAAATCAAGTGAGGATTCTTTTTTCAATTATTTCATTCACTGTTTATACCTATTAAATTGTAAAATAGTCTTAGAAATTCATTAACAGAATGTCTTTTCCACTTCTTGACCATGTCTAAATGCAGTCTTATTTTCAAGTGGTACAGTATGGTAGAATAGAGAAGGTGTGGGCTCTAGCCAAAAGTGTAACCCAGGGCAAGTTAGTTGTATCTTTAAGTCTCATTTTCATCATCTTAAAATGGAGATAATAACAGTATCTCTTTCATATGATCATTGAGAGAATCGAAATAATCCATGGAAAGCATCAGCGAAGTACCTAGCATTTAGCAAGTGCTCAGCTCTTATCAAGATGATGAATTTGAGAGCTCATACTGAAACATTACTGTTGTTACATATTTTAGAACAGAAATAATCTAAAAACTATATTAACCATTATGCTTAGCTAAAATAATCAGAGCAGAAACATGCAAAAGCATCATTCGCAGCTCAGCACAGGGGCTGGCTTTCCATGTGGCACATGCTTGGGGTGGACAACTAGTATGGGCAATTGCTGTTATACTAGGCATAGGGGTAGGCGCAGCAGCCGGCAAAGTCCAGGGCTTAGAAAAGGGCAGACTGGCCTCTAGTTGAGGCTGAGTGAGTAGATGGAAGGCAAGGACCTGAGACGAGGAAGGCAACTGACCAGATTCGAGAAGACAAATAATGGTCCAGGCAGTAACAACAATAAATCAATCCCAGAGAGAGAGGGCTGAGATTCAGCAAGTTGAAGGGGATCTAAAAGGAGTCAGGGGCCCAGAGAATCCCTCAGGGAGATACCTGACTGAGAGCATTTGACTTGGACTGAAGAATTTTAACCCTGAACTTCTAAATGGAAGCTCATCCCTTTAGGACCAGCTTAGCTAAGGTGAGCCAGGGGTCAACCTTATTCCTTCTACCAACTTGAGGTCTACTCATCAGAGGGTAGTAAACCAAGTTTTCCTATCTGCGGCTCCCTAAGAGTAGGTATGAACCCAGTGGGTCTAGCAGGCTAGTCAAGGTGGAGCAGTGTCACTTTGCTTTCTTATACCACTAGAAGGTATAAGAATGAATCTTCCTGAAAGAGGTCCCAGCAAAGTAATGATCATAGGCGATAAAACAATCTTAGCTAGTCATGTCAGCCAAATAAAGAAGCATGACGTTTTTTAAAAAAATTATGACTTGCATATTTTACCTGCCTGATAAACTAGAGACTTGGAAATGTCCCAACATCTTATATTTTTATATTTTATTTTGTATATTTAGTATCATACCGTTGCCATCATCAACAGCAAAGTTGGTGTTATAATCATTAACCTCTATTAGAATTCTGGGCAGGGTCTGCTTTTCTCTGTAACTAATTTCAATAGTGTTTTTTGAAAATCTGATTGTTACTGTTTATAGGCAATCAGGAATAAGTCAGACGTCAACACACTGAACAGAGTCATCCTTGTCCCATGAGCACAGAGCTAAGGTACGATGACAGAGTGGGGAAGCAGGACGCCACTCCCAATCCAGTCTGACACACCTATGGGAAACCCGAATTGCTGGAGGTATTTGAGGGAGGAAATCTCTACCAAGAAACATCAGGGGATCTGGAGGCTAGGCTAAGTTAGAGAAGGTAACACTGTCAGTGAAACTGTGCAGAGATATAAATAACTGATGATTCCTGGGGCAGAATGTGCATTTATGCGTAAAATACTTGAGGTGCAAGAATCAAAGTGGTGTGGCAGCACCACTGTAAAGCAAAGGCAGATCTTTCCAGAATTCCAGTAAAGCCAAAAGGTGAACCACACTAAAGCTACACTAGAGCCATTGAACGTCACTGGACTCGGGAATGGTTTCCATTCTGAAATGCGGCTGTGAGAAAGAACAAAGGCAGTACGGCCAAACTTTAAACTCACAGGCAGAGTGACTTTATAATATGCAGTTTCCATCATTCAAGTAGAATCTTTTAAGTCTTTTTAACTTGCACCTTCTATAAACATTCGTAGAGAAGGCATCCCAAACACTCGAGTTTCACGTTATTTTTCATTTGCAAATCATGAGTTAATCACAAACTTTACTAAACGCAACCATGTGCCAATGTGGCTCACGAGCGCCCTCTAGTGACAGTAAGTCCAGTTAAGACGATTCAGTCCCCTAAAAAACTGTCTTAAAAAAGTGCAGATTCACTATGTATTCAATTTCTGCTGTCAGCTAAAAATAGATCTTCTGCCACTGTTATTTGCACAGCTATAAACTCAATTGAATGCTCTCTCTTTAGAATCCATAACTAGATAAAACCATTTATTAAAGGATATACAATTCAATCATCTGAAAATATTTCAAAGTAATCTTTGCTTGATCCCAATGCAAACACATTATTTTGGCTGTTGGGAAGCCTTTTTACAACTGAATAAATAGGATTACAAGTGGTAAAAGAAGATTTAAAAAAAAAAATCCTCATATAGTTACTTCATTTCTCTTCCTAACTTCTTTCGGTACTCCAGAGACTATTACAAGTGATCGCAATGGCTAAATCCATGAAACTCTGCATCCTGATTGCCTTATCATTTATTTCCTACCACATTTGGCTTTTTTTTTTTTTTTTTTTGATGTTGAGGTTTTCATTCCTTAACCTCAGACCCAGAGTTCTTAAACTGGTGGCAACTCCCAGGACAGCTGTGGTCTATAGGCATGGTCTAGTTATGTTTTAAATTTTCTTGCTGGTTGCCCACATTCAAAATATGGATTTCTGGCATCCTCTAAAAAAAGAAAATGACTTTTGACAATGTCTGTCTTCCATCCCCACATGTCAACATGCTTCCAGGAGCCCAGTGGGGCTGACATTCTCAGTGGGGTCTATGTCCTTCAGTTAGCCAGTCACAACTCAGCCCACATGGGTCACATGGGTTACTTACCTGGGCCCTGCAGGCATTTGAGTTGCAACTCCTGAGTCTGTAATTCCTTTCAATACTTCCTATAAAAGTCATCTTTATAATCTTTATAACCAAGCTAATCTTCTATCATATTAGCACCACAAAACGCTACGGGAGGTACAGACTAAAAGGAACATGCTGTTCTACAAAAAAAGAAAAAAAGATGCTCTCAGTAATAGAGGAAGACGAACACACAAATGAGTGGTTTAGGTTGATGTCAAACGCAATCGATTCTCTCAGACTTGATAAAGTTCATTTTGTGTTTATAAACCACATCCTTGTTTAGAGATAAGAACGCCTCACCATAGGCTCACTCACAGCAAATAAGCAAAGACCCTCCTATCGCAAACCACCTGCTCGCATCCCAAGGTTGCTCTCTTGAAGCCAAAGGCCTGGCCAGTTAGACCATGAAAAGGAAACAGGGCACTTACTGGTGTGCTGCTGTCTGAGAAGGTATTCATGCTGACAGAGCTGCTCAGCTTGTCTGAGGACACGGAGGGTGGGGACGGGCTCCTCTTCTCCAGGGGGTCCTGCCGCTGCAGGTACTCACGCCATGCTCGCTGAATGCTGCACAAATAAAAAAACCGGCGACACACTGTCACTCCCCTGTCACAGCCCACGGACTCAGAAAATCATAAGGAGTCTGAAGGCATGGGCTTTCGAGACAGGGAAACTGTGACACACGGAATGTGTCACAGGAAATCAGAAGACCTGGACTGTCTCTATATTTTACTGGTTTGACTTTCACAGACTTAACTAAACTAAATCAGTCTACAAGTGTCAGCTCAGTCAAGAAAAGTCATCGGTCAAAGTGAAACTACTTTGCACATGTAAATGTACTTTGATTTATGGGACACAAAATCTTTCAATTTCTCATCCTATATTTCAAATGAGAATAATAAATAGGCTGACATATCACTTACTCATTCACTCAATACGTCATTGTTGAGGGACTATTCTGAGCCAGGGTCAGCCCTAGGCTCTAGACAGAGACTGCAATAAAGCTCTAGGGGGTGCCATTCACACAGGCTTCAAGGTGAAGGGCGTTTAGTGATGTTTTATAGTGTAGTCTGCAGGCCAAACGCAGTGGCCCTGCTCTGGGGACAATACAAGCAAGAGTGGTAGAGATTTTACATACTGTGTAAGGAAACAGGTAATGTTCGATAAAGAAATGGAAAGAGAACACAAAATATCTGAAAGTGTTACATAGTACTCAGAAAATCACATTAAGAGGTGATTAGGTAGCTGTTTGAGTTTTCGCCCAAAGCAGCTTTTTATTTCCTGCACTTAGTATCCAAAAAAACTCACCTCCTGCTTTGGATAACAGAAACCTCTTCTTTGTGAAAGCTAGGTAATTGTTTTGGGGACTGGCTTCTAATCTTTGAGATTAACACCTAGGTTTTCACAGGTGATCAGTGATCAGTCTACCCTCTCCTGGGAGTTAGCAGGACATGAAGACCAATTGTCAGGATTCAGCCTTTTAAAGTGGTTGCACTAATTCCTTCACTCTCTCTTTTATACTCCTGGAAGCACCTGTTCTATAATTCTTCCACATACAACTAAAGTCACTAAAGTTGTTTCTGTGTAAACAAACTGATTTATTTTCATTTAGCTAGAATGGTTCAGACTATCAATTTTCAACAGCCAGAGTGTGTGTGTGTGTGTGTGTGTGTGTGTGTGTGTGTGTGTGTATGTATATGTATATGTATGTATATATATACATAAATGCTACCATGCTATTGAATGCGTATGCATCCCCTAATTTATGAAGTCTCTGTGAATTTTAAGGCTCAAGGAAAAGTCCAGAAACTGCAGGGAAACAATACCCAGGGGTCAGAGGCCAATTTTCCTGAAACATAAGCTTCAGTGGCCCTTACTTAGAGGGCAGAAGCTTCTCCCAAGATCCTGTGCGGGGCTCTTCATGGTTTGTATAAAATTACAAAAGTAGATATGTCTTAGGGTTTTTTTTTTAAAGGGCTTTCCAAATTATATACACACTTCAGGTCCCATTAAAGTAGAATCTGACTGTGGTTTGGGTTACATGTGGTCACTGTTTTATTTGCAGTGCTTGCTCAAAATGTATCCTTATTTATTTTTCTTTGGTTTAAAGATTTTAAACACAATCTCAAAGATAGTCCTATAAAAACACATGCCCAAGTCTGGTAGTCCCACTGCTCCTTCCAGGACCCATTTTACTAAGGAGTAACGAACTTTTGGAAACTGTTGGTGATTGCCATATCATCTGAAGAGCTTCAAGTGCTAAGTGTCTCCCAGAGCCCTGCTGACAAGCTCTGTCCCTTGAGGGCACCTAAGTCTGTAAAACTGCCCATCAAGGACTTAAAAACATGTGACATTTGAAAAGTGACTAAAAAGAAGTCTCTCTCTCTCTCTCTCTCTGTCTCTGTCTGTCTCTGTCTCTCCTCCCTCCCTCCCCACCCCTCCCTCTCTCTCTGCCTTGATTATTCAGAAAACAATAGGAAAAAAAAATGTAGTGGCCACTTGAGATATTACATTTTAGCTTGTTTAACACCAGGGGGCAGTGTGACACCTTTAAAGAACCAAACAATGCTGATGAAAACTCAGGTAAGGTCTGCAAAGGTGAATTTACACTTAAGCATCCCCTTTCCCCCTCCTAGTGCTATGGAATCTGCAAAGTAACATTTCAGTTCTCCTTAAGCAAGAGATTAAGAAGTCAGATTTTTTCTTCTATGTCCCTAGCCTGCTTCTCCTCCACTCCAGTTCGTGCCAAGTTTGTAATTCCCGACTTTAGCTCGTTACTTTGATTACTGGTACTTCCTAAGCATCATGGACTTATATTCTTCTGGATCTTTCTACAAGTTTCTTCACCAACATTTAAGATCACTCTGTCAAAAACCTCCAACTCTCTCACAGATGGGAATTTGGCCAAATTGGGTCTGGGCTCCAATAACATTCTTCTTTATGAAGACTTGAGAAGGCACTTGAGAAACAAGGTACACAGAGGCAACTGAGTCTAGGAAAGAGAAAAGTAGCTCTGAGAGATATTAATCTGTCAAAGGGAAGAGTATCAGACTAGACCAGCTCAACAACTCTTTTCCAAGGGGTCCTCTTCCTCCACTAGACAGATATACTCACAAGAATATAGTGAGTAGATGATCAACAAATATATTCTCCTAAGATCGTGTCCCAGAAATAGCTCAATAAATGCTCAAAGAAGAAAGAAAGAAATTGTGTTTATTGTATTCTTTGGCTCTGTGACTTTGAGTTCGGCGCGTCCTTGTATTTTGTTTGTTGACGTTCTCACTGTGTTCGTCCATTCCTCTCCCGAGTTCAGTAAGCATTTTTACGACCATAACTTAGAACACTTTATCGGGTAAATTACTTACCTCCATTGCATGAAGTTGTTTCCCCCCGCCCCCTGAGGTTTTATCTTATTCTTTCATTTGGACACATTCCTTTGTATCTTCATGTTGCCTGACTCTCTGTGGTGGTTTCTATGCATTAGATGAAATAGCCACCTCTCCCAGTCTTGAAGGATTGGCCTTGTGTAAGAGTTGAAACTTATCATTCAACCCTAGTTTCTGGTTATCTCTAAAACTTTCGTGATTGTCCAAGCAGCCTATTTTATTTTTAATAGCTCCCAAGAGTTCAAGATGTGTCAAGACCAGTCAGTGTCCCCAAAAGGATCTCAGTCAGTACCTAGATTCCAGCTAACTGGAAGGAAGCCAGACACGCAGGCGACAGCTTTAAAGAAGGCGAATATATATCCTGTGAGACCATAAGCATAAGCCCGGCTCTCCACCAGAGCCAGGCAATCTGAAGATGTGCCCTGGGTGACAGCTGCAAAAATCGGGATTTCTACACAAATATATAAGCTCCTATCTGGGAAATACGGGTGAGCTATCGCCAAGGCAAAGGGAAAGCTCAAAGATAGTGTGGCCCCGCCTACATTTGCTGAGAACACCTTCCTAGCTTCCTACTGTGTGTCAAACATAAAACTGCCCCTAAGGCTGAAGCTCCAGGACAAGCAAGTAGTCCTCCTTTACAGAAAGACTGCAGTGAGTGTTCTGGGGGTACAAGAGCTGTCTCTCCAATTGTTACAGTCCCGTGGGTCCAAAGAACTCAACCTTCCTTGGCCACCAGAGTCAGGAAATCAAGGGGTATCTCTGGGTGGTAGCCACAAAAACCAGGACACCAGATGTGAAAACTAGGGCACCCTTTGAGAGATGGTGGTACTCTGGACTGTGACAGAGGGAGAATGCAAAATAGCGCCAGCCCTCTGAGGTCTCGGGAAAGGTTCGCAGTTAGCCCTTAGATATGTATTTAATTAGAAGCTTGTCCCTCAGGCTGCAGCTGTGATGATAAGCTAATAGGCCTCATTCACGGAAAGACTGAGCACCTGGGTCTGATGCCTCTTGCTGTGCCCTCAAGGTGGTAGCTGTTTAAGACTCTTTTTCCATTGATTACAGTCCCCTGGGGATGGCAAGCTTAAGGCCACAGAGCCAGGCGATGCAGAGATGGCTTCTGGTGGCAGTGGAAGAAATCAGGGCACCAGACAAGGGTATAGCTGGTTTCTGGAAGATACTGGTGAAGTGAAGTGAGGCCCGTAAAAGTGTTTCCAACAAGCAGCCTGCCCCTCAGGCCTAAGCTCCTGGACAACAAACGGGCCTCTTTCTTAGAAAGACTGGGCGTGTGTTTCAGCCTGCTCTCTGTGCAGGGCCCTGACAGTGGCATCTGCCAAGAACTATCTCTCCGACTGTTACAGGCCTGTGGGGCCCAAGAACGCAGGCCTCCACCCCGGCCTCCAGAGCTAGGCCCCCAAGGGGCAGCCACAAAAACTGGGTCACCAGATGTAAAACAAAAACAGAGCACCAGGTGTGTGCAGAAGCCCCCTCTGGGAGGTGTTGGTGGCCTGGGGTGTGGCAGGAGAAGAGCGTGAAGTTGGTGACCACTGACTGAAATGAGGCAGAGAGGGAGTGCAAAGACGGTACTTGCTGGAAAAAAAGGAGAGGGGGTAAGAAAAGGAAAAAGAAGGGGGAAAAGCGAAAAGAAAAAAGAAAAAGAAAGGAAATAAAGATGGCGCCTACCTGTTCAGCAAGGCCGAGGGAGAGCGGGAAGAGGGCGCCCGCCGCTCTCCATCCCCATCCCCGGAGTATCCCAGCAGGCCCTGCTTTAAAATGAGCAACTGAGTCTCTTCCACTTTGGGTCTGGGCGGTTTTCTAAGAGCTGCTTCTACGCTGGGTCCGGCCTGGGCTGGGTGAGTTTGCGCACGAGCAGGTCCCTCTAAGGGCCGGTCCTGGGTTTGCCAGGGCACCGTGGGCTTCCAGGACGCAAACGAGGTTGGTCTTCAAAGCAAAATGTCTTGGGGGCTCACTTCTCCGGTGCCGGTCTTAAAAGCTGGGGTGACCGATGCGCGGTATGAACCTTTTGCTCCTCAGAAAGAAGCTCTGGCTTTTGACTTTCCTTCCAATTGTCAATCACTACACCAGGGGTGGGGCTTAAGGCAAGATTGTGCCTCAGCCCTTCTCAGCCTTTTCCAGATTTTCCTAGCCGCTTCAATGTGAAGGGGTTGCTCCGCCAGTTTTTAGGTTGTGATTTTTGTTGTTGTTTTTTTTTGTTTTTTAGAAGAAATAGTTCCCTATGTTGGCATAGATTACACTGTGGTCGCTGGAGGAAGTGAGTTCATGATTTTCCCTCCCAACTGTGTTTACACTGATATAAGTTCTTGCTCAGTTTCATGTCTCATTAGCTGTGGCCTTGGGCAAAATACTTAAACCTGGCCTACATTTTGCTTACCTACAAAATGAGATTACCAATAACTTGTTTGTAATTCTTGCGAGGAGTCAAGGATAAGGTATCTAAGTCAATTAGCCCCAAACTTAACAAATAGAGACCCTAGAGAAATCATTATAAATACTTATGAAAATCAAACACTTTCATATATATTTAAGTAACGTGCAAATCACATACATCAATATGATAAGCTGGATTCCTAAAAATCTTTACCAGCATTATTAGCCCAATTTGACATCAAAATATGTTTGGAAAAGGTACAATTACAAAGAAAAAATACACTAGGCTAAATGCTTTTCTTGGATTGTTCTTCATTGAAAGGTCACTACAATCCTTTAAGACATGGTCAGTGTCCTCATTTCACAGAGGCATGCAATGGAGGCCCAGAGCAGTAAGCAGTGTCCCCGAGGTCACACAGTGGGACAGGACCAGAGATGGGATTTGAACCTAGCTTGCTCTACGCTCACGACCTCTCTTATCTCATATCTTCTTTTAATTAAACATTTGACTGAAGTTGATAGGCATTACTCTTAAACAAAGGCAACTTAATAAGGCTTTATTGCAAATTATCCCCGAAATTCTTTTGGGAATTGCCTTCTTTCCCCAGAGTGTGTGTGTGTGTCTCTCTCTCTTCCCTCCTTTATAGAATCTAAATGTTTCATCACTAAATCAAACATATTAATAAAAAATAAGGAGAGGAATTGAACATATTTAGTGAGCAGGCTTTTAAAAGATGATTTGTATTCAACAGACCTCTATGTTATTCCGTCACAAAATATTGTTAAAACATAAGGAGAGAGATTGCACACAGTTAATGAACAACTTTTAAATGATGGGTTTTTACTTGGAAGATGCATTTTAGTTCTTATGGCAACATGCAAGGTGTGACCCCGACGTGAAGGGCAGAGGTTTGATGGGACCTGGTGAGTCTGTTTGCTTTCTTTGCGGTCAGGCCTCCATGTTAAAACCCGCACTCCTTTGATGTGTGCGTCATTCTTGGACCTTTGTTCCAGCCACGGCTCTTAAGAATACATTAATCTTTAGTCTTCGAGTTGCGCCGAGGACCTTCTTTGTGGTGCTTTCAGTATTACTTTTGCTTTCACTAAATTTTCTGACTTGAGAGGCTTGCCTTCGCTTGATCTTCAGAAAACCTGCCTTTTTACCTCCCCCAAAATGATTTTTATTAATAGCCGTGCAATCTTGATTGCTTTTGCCCTTTTCATGCAATCCTTTGATCCTCCAAGTCTAAAACTCAAGATTACCTCTTAACATTCATGAACCAGGTAATGCACCCTTCCTGACATTTCATCTAAATGACACCTCCCCACACACATGTTCTTCCCCCACAGTCCTCTTCCTCCTTCCACTGATACTTTGTACTACCACATACAGGTTTAGGCTTTCTTATCAAATTCTTTCCTTTTAGTGTTGCCCGAGTGTGAGAAAATAACTGAGACCCTTTCTTGGCTCACCCAAACCCAACCTGGGGTCCCTAAGAGCGCAGGTATACAGTGAAGGCGACCGCACCTGACAACAGCTCTCATCTCGCTGTATCTTTTATATTCAGAGGTTGAACTGCCAAGGCGCAACCTACCTCAGGGCTTGCCGGGTTAGACCGTCCAGAAAACCTTCACTGGAACCTATTACTCTCTCCTCCTCCTCAGGGAGGGGAGAGGAGAGTTTCTAGAAAAGTAAATTTTATGGTACAGTAACCTCACTTCTCTCTAACCTCTGAGGGAAGGTAGATGTCCGGCTGGTTCCCACCAACAGAAGTCAGAAGACTCTAAGAGAAAGCCTATGAAATTTGAGTGACTCAGGAACCTGAGACAAAACCCTATCTTTCATAGCCAATGCTCTGCATGTCTAAAGAACATCTCTTGGGAAGCTAAGAGAGCGCTATGCCAAGATTCTCCCTGTGGAGGGTGCTGAGGTAGATAGCCTCAGCCGAGCAAGGGACACAATGAGGGGTGCAGCCTACACTGATGGTGGAGGTCTCAGGGGAGACCTAATGGTCCTTCCTACAAGGAATAAAATAACCTCTTCGAGGAAACAACTGACTGGAAACTTGAGTGTTCACCGTCAATGAGAAAACTGGGGCAGCCTTGGTGTTTAGTACACGAGGGGAAGGAAAGATGACACCAAGAGAGGAGGAAGGAGGGGAGATGGGGAGAGTGGAAAGAGGAGAGGGAAGAGGGGGGAGCAGGCTGCAGAGCTGTAGGAAAGGCCTAATGTGTGTGGAGGGGAGATGTTTAACCTGTCATGAGAGTTAAAAATTCAATAACCAGATTAGACGAGAGTCACTGAACTGAACTAAATTGTCTGATGGGACTCAAATTCCATTACTGGGCAAGATTAAATTTTCTCTCCCTCATCTTCCTCCAGTGAGTGAAAATGGGGTCCAGAGTTATTAGAAGAGATAGAGCCATTCAGTTTGCACCTCACTGAGCTGAGACTCCTCCATCAGACCAGTTACAAATAGGATCCCAGATGCTCTGAGCTGGCTAGCATCTTAGGCACGGAGATGTTTTTCTTTGCCTGTTCCTCTTCCTCGCAAATGCTCCTCTGCCTCTGCATATTAGAGATGATGGAAACTAAGAAAGAACAGGGAGATTTCCTAACTTCATTTCGGCATTCAAATTAAACACTCTAATTTTTCATGTAGTCAACTTTCCTTTCCAGTATTTTTTCATTTCAGAGGACGTTATCATAATAAAAAAAATTCCTAAGGATAAAGCAACCTATGATTGGAAACTAACATCTTGTGTAGTGGGGCTGACACACCGCTTATATAAAATATTTTGGTAGCCTGGTTCATTATTCCTCTAGTAAGTATGACACAGAGTTTCCTGGATGGGGGGCAACTGGTTCAGAAGCCATGTTAGAACTCTATCTTGAGAGGTAGCCCTATGTGCTCACTCAGAAGCAAGCTTTTTACTGATAACCAAGGGTAACAGAGATCTATAGTGGTATATATTAATATTTGCTTTTATCCAGCAGGATGTTATATATCTGCATCATTTCTGTTTTACTTCCTAAATCCAGCAATGGCTTATTGCTCTTCAAAGTTGTACATCTCAAGGCTCCCTCCTTCAGGGTGGTTTCTTCTCTAAAGATTCCTCTTTGGGCTTCTGGCAAATTATCAGTGATCCTGGCCAAACTCAGGTATATTTAATTTCTTAGATACATGCTTCTAAGAGTGTTAAGCTGAGTGTGTGAATGTGTGTGTGTGTGTGTGTGTGTGTGTGTGTGTGTGTATTACATACACGCTCAGTGGCAAGTCTTATATGCACCCTAAAGGGGAGTCAGAATGGAACAAGATCACAGAAAGCGGGCATGAATAGTTTAAAATTGCTTCTAAGGTGATTCTGATAGACCCCTTCTCTACTCAAAAATGATTTTAAAAGGTTGCCATTTTGTTCTATAATATGTCTGTCTGACTTTGTATCTTATTAATTTCATTTTTATTAATATGGAGCTATTTTTAGCATGATTTTTATGCAATACTCATTTATAGTGGGGGAAGTGGACTCACATTTGGCCTTAGTAAGAAAGAATTTAAAAAATGATAGGTAGTGAGAAAGAAAGACAAGATATATTTTTCAAAATATTTAGATGAGAGCCGAAATGGAAATGGGAAGAAAGAAGAGGGTAGGTTGAAAGGATGTGTGTGTATTTGTGTGTGTTTGTGTGTGTGTGTGTGTGTGTGTGTGTGTGTGTGTGTGTGTAATAAAGAAATGGCCTGAGGTGGAAACAACTGTGTTGTTCCAAGGTGGAATTAACCAAGTCCCTGAGATGAAAGACAGTGGAAAATGCTACTGGAAGTTGAAGAACAGTATTCAGCCTGGAAGGGGAAAACCAAGAAATGTCGTGATGACAATCAGATAATTCCCTCCACTATCAGTAATGGTGTGCCCAAAACAGCTTTGTTGCTGCTCTCAGGACAGAGCCAAAATAATGTGTAACACATAAATGTGAAATAAATAAATGTGTAATTCTTGTACCCCCAAACTCCAGAGTAGTTTGGAAGTTAATAAAACAAGAACTTCAATGCTTTAATGTAAACTTTGAAATAACTTACATTTTCACCTTTGATTCCAAGGGCTGTAGATTGAGGTGATATTTTTCAATATTATTCTCCACATCCATGGCCAGCTGGTGACTGAAAACAGAAATAATGTCTCAATATAGCTTAATCCAGAAAGTTAACAATTATAGCAGTAATATCACCGATTGTATTTATTTTAAAAAAGGAGGTATGTATTCAATTTAGTTCATTTTAATTTATTAAGAGTCCTAATTCCTATTGATGGATGATAGATAGATAACCTACCATAAAAGAAAATGCTATTTTGCCTTCACCTTTACTGTTCTTTTGATTTCTACCACTCAGCTCAATATTCATATCTAAGGCATGAAAATCGTTTTCTTTAAGTGAAGAGAAAAGCAAAATATTGAACCATTTCAGTGGGAGAAAAAAAAACATAAGGACAGTGTTATAAATCCTATGGCAACACCCAATTAGTAAGTTGTAGAGAGTTTCTCATTCATCCTCAATGGTGCCACTGCCATTGAATCTTTCTTACTGTCTCTGTGAGCTTATAAGATCACTGTGGGCTACAATGGTCAAGGAAGGCTTCAAGGAGATGGTGGCACTTGGTCTGGGGTTTGAGGAATGGATAGGAATTAAGTAAAATGAGACATGAAAGGTAATATATGTGAAGAAGATATTAAAACAGAGGAATGGAGGTAAATAAAAGTCAAGCAATTTTTAGACAATAAAGAGAGAATTTGGTGGAAGTAGAGGATAAAAGAAGTATAAAAGGAAAGAAGTTTAGATAAGCAGAAAACTAATAGTCATTGGCCACATAACATGTGCGAAACACTGTCACAGACATTTTTCATGGATTATCTTATTTAATTCTCACAGTAGCCTCTATCAATTAAGTATTATTTTCCCTAATATACAATTGAAATATCTGAAGCTCAGAGAGATTACGTTAAACTCAGCAGAAACCATATTAAAATTCAAGTCTCACTACCACAAAGTAATGCTTAGAGGATTTTAATATCAGATGTATTAAACTTAATTCTACTGACTGTGGTTTTCATAAATATTTGACATCCTAATCCAATACACAGGCATGGGCTAAGGGTGTGTGTGTGTGTGTGTGTGTGTGTGTTTAAAACTGAAACAAAAGTTTCAAGAAACATCATTTCCCCCAGAATAATGTTCTCTGATATTTTTAAATTACATTTCAGATATTTTTAAAAGGCCAGAGGTTACTCATCAAATCGATTTAACAAACCAACAATGGATCGTGATCGACAGTGTGAAAAGCATTGTTGAAGGGAAACATAAATAATTTGAAGCAAGAAAATGTGATGGATAGAACATTTAAGGATGGTTTGCAGTAGGAGTGAGCCAGGAGAGTAAAGGAAAATATTTAGAAGGGTGTTCAAACTGGCCAGATAATGAGGACCAGGATTATGGTGATAGTAAAGAAAAGAAAAAGATAAGAAAAAAACATTATGCTGGAGGCATTATTAGGATAATGAACTTATTTTCCCTTCAGAAAAAAATTACCAAGTGGTGGGGAAAACATGGTATAGATCAGAGAAATTCGTTCATGGCCAGTAGGTGGTGCCATCAGGCCAAGATAGCTTTGTGATTGCCCACCTGGGAAGTTGAGCGGCAGAGAAAAAAACACTGCTTGCTCTGTGCTGTCAGCATTCAGGGTCCATTATTAATTTATCCTTATTCATTCACTTACAGATATATTGAATATCTTCTATGTACCAGGAATGATGCAAAGTATAGCGGCTACAATGGTGAAAGCACTAGACATGGTCCCTGTTCTTATGGTCTTACAATCTAGGAGAAGATGGATATTAAGTCATCACAAATATGATGAATGTCATTAAAGGGGAAACATAGAGGGACCTAATCCAGGATTGGTGGGCATGTAAAGTCTCATTTGTATAATTCTATGTTCTTGTAGGGACAACAGCCTTATAACAAGTATACTTTAAGATTTTGTAGATTAAACCCCTAAATAACAAATTAGCAAAATGGACAACAGAGATATAGGTGAGGTATTATGGGACCTGTAGATATGCAGCAATCAAAGACAAAGCTCAAGTTTTCATAAAGAAAATTTTTTTTATATTAACAAATTTTCTGATTTGGGTTTACAGTATATACATCCTCAATAAGCTATAAACTACAAATACCTACAGGCTTAAATTGGGTAGCTTTAGTTCATTCTATCAATAATTACCTATGGATAATAACATGATTATATGTCAGGAGAATATATGACTTGCAATCACACATTTCCTACAAAAGATCCAGCTTCAACCAATATTTACAAAAAATAGCTGTCAGCCTAAGGTCTTAGTTATCAAATGATTATCAAAAACAATAGAGTCATAAGCAGCCTCCTAATTAATGACCTTACTAATGGTTGTTCTTCTCTGTTTACTGGCTTCAGTGAGTGTGGGGCGCGCGCGCGCGTGTGTGTGTGTGTGTGTGTAGCTTCAGTGAGCGTGGGGCGTGTGTGTGTGTGTGTGTGTATGTGTGCGTGTGTGTACACAGATGTACTCAACTGGCCCTGAACGTGGTCTCAAGCATAATGGAGTTCCAGCAACAGATGTACTTGACTGGGCCTGAACGTGGTCTCAAGCATAATGGAGTTCCAGCATCCCCTCCCTTCACACTGCCTACCACAAAACCCTGTTGAGCATTCAGAATAAATGTAATGTTCCAAGGGGGAATAACCAATCAACTGCTATGACACCACTATCACTTAACTTATGGTCATTTCAAGTAGCTGAGATGATTTACATCAGCATCTAAGTCAGCTACAGCTGTAATGAAATGCTTAATCTGCTCATTCCAAGTATACCAATTTTTCAATCAAATATGACAGCTTTCAAGGACACAACCCTGCCCAGAAGCAGACCAGGAAAATCTCCAGAATCCCAGCGTATAGTTGTTAGGGTTGGAAGTCATTGTTTTCTCTGTCCTGGACAAGCATAAAAGGGAAGTTTACCCCATAGGACTGCATGCTCTGAGGGGAACTTTAATTCCCATCCCTGGAATTCCTCAATCATGACTGGGAAAAATAAACCTACAAAGCAGACAGGCCATTTCCAGATGCTTTTAGCTTTCACAGGCCTCTAGATAATGAGAGAGAAAGAATGGGAGCGGGGAGAGGAGGCAGAAGCCACATTTACACCATTAATCTTCGCATATCTTCCTGAGAGCAGAGAGATGGGAAAGATACAGGCTGGTGTTATTGAGAGGTTTAATATACAGTTGTGGTCAATTAGCAGAAAAAAACTTTTAGAGTTCACTTCTTACATTAAAATCAATAATGAAAAACCAGCATAGCCAGATTTAATAGATAAAGGGGCTGAACATCACAGAGAAAGTGTGTCCCCAGAGAATTAAACTGCATGAGGTTACTGAATGACCAAAAAGAATCTAAAATGCATCTACCACTGGTTCTTTAAAATGCATCTACCAAGTCCTTATTAGAATCACAAGAAGGAAGCTTTTAAGAAATACTGATCCCAGGACCTCGCCCCCAAAGATTCAGATTCAATTTGTCTGGGATAGGGCATTTTTATTAAACTCCCTGGGTGATGCTAAGTGCAGCCAGGGTGAAGAACCACTGACCTAACATCATTACAATGTTAATCTCCATAGAAGAAAAATTTTCTTTCCGATTCAGCCAAAATCTCTAGTTATTATTGCTTATATATAGCTAGTGATGGTGGTGATGAGAGGGGGTGGGGAAATTGAACTATTTTATTCTTTTTGTTCATATTAATGAGAACAGACATAACAAGGTTAAATTAAATCCATAGATAACCCAGAAACTTGATTCGATCAAAGGGCCGACGCTGTCCTGTAAGTGGTAATATAGAAAATTCTTAGAATCATGGAGATGGAATGAACCTGAGAACCTATCTAGTCCAAACATCCACCTGGACAGAAAGGCAAAAAGCTGACATGGAAGGCACTGTGTTACCATGGGTGTTTCATTCAATGCTCAAAATTGTCAAGCCAATATTATTGTCTTCATTTTTAACTATGTAAAAATGGGGGCTCAGAGTGGTTCAATAACTTTTCCAGACTCACAAAGCTAGGAAAGAGCAGAGAGAGAAATGAAGTCCAAGGTCTTCCATTGTTAGGAACGTTTTCAGCAGCACCTCACTCTTCTGAGGGCACTTGCAGTATCTATGGGCTCACCCCTGAATAAAGAAGTCCATTCTCTTGAGAAGGCTGAATTTTTACAAAAGTTATCCTTTATCTGAGTCACAAACCTGTTTCTCCATAAATCCTGCTCATTGGTCCTTATTCTGCTTCCTAGAGCAAGAAGAGGAATTTAGCCCCTTTGATAGGAAAATTCTTTCCAAAGTTTAAGGGTAGACATTATGTCCTGAGATTTCTTTTCTACAAGCTATGAATCCTCTCAGCTCTTTGTGGCAGTTTCACGTGGTTACAGAACTCTCACAATTTTAACTGACTTCCTCTGGTTCTCTTGGGAATGTCACTGTGCCTTTAAAATGCGATGCCCAGAGCCAAACAGGACACCACATGGGCTTGACATTTGGACTTAGTGTGTGGTTGAGAGCAGGGGCTCTGGCGGCATTCAAACTTGGGGTTGATTCTCATTCTTCCTTATCACTCTCAGCTGAATATACTTACACAAGCACTAAAAGTTCTCTGAGCCTCTTTCCTTGTCTGTAAAATGGAAATAACAATGCCTATATCGAAAGGCTGTAATCAGAGTTCCATGAGGAAATATCTGTAAGCATTTACTAATACAGAGTACATTGTAAATGCCCAATAGATGATAGTTAACTTTTTCTTCTTTTATCTTGACAATGTATGACTACTAATCAGTCTAATATTGTGGTAATATTTTTAGAAGCCATAGTCAATTATGGCCTCATGTTAACATCAGATAAAACCTCTAAGTATTTATCCATAAATTGAAATCAGAATATATCTCACGTGCTCTAACTGTACAGTTTTTTAAAAAAAAACCTAAACGGAAGACTTTTAGCTCTTTTTTGTCTCTTTTTTCTAGCGCAGTTTTGTTTCATTCTGCAGTACTATGTTAATGTTCATCTTATTAGTTTTATTGTCACCCTTATGTTTTTGCAAATTTATGATTGCCTTCCATGCACATCATTGATTTAAAAGCCAAAGACAGAACGGGATTAAGTTTCCAGCCCTCAAACACAACACCAAAAACATCTCCAAACATTCAATTACTCTGTTAATCAGTATAGTTTGTGTATCATAGCTCAACTAGTCATAAATCTAACTATATCTCAAGTGAGAAATATATCTGGGTCCTAACCACAATGATATCATAAGAAATTGTCAAATTTACTGACTCATTTTTGCCTTGCCAAGTAGTTTTTTTCTTTCATTCAAGGCTTTCAACCTCACAAATAATTTAATTTTCTTTAGTATTTTTTACTTACTTTTCAAGCAAGTAATTTCCATCATTAACTTGCTCTAAAGGATTCTGCAATGTTTTCATTTCTTCCTGTGAGAGGAAAAAAAGAAGTGTCTTACAAACTGATTCCATGTACTTATGGGCAATAATATTTGAGTACAGTTATTAGCAAAATTGAGATAACACGCCATTAAATGTTCTGGACCTTGCAATGGATAAGTGCTTGAACAAACAAAACAATTTCATCCTTGATCAAATTAAAATACAATGCTGCCAGTAAAATTGTGATTTTGTTTTCATAACTAAAAATAATGCTTCCTGTTATTTTTCTAGATATGTTTATATTACTCCACTTACTTCCCAAGTTTACTCTGTCAACTGTGTTATATTTGCTGGTTGCTGGGTGAGGTACTCTAATGAGTATGCTGGGTTTGGCCATTCAGTAACCATCCTCTCTTATCTCTCGGTAATTCTCAGCAACCTCTTCCCTTAGCCTCAGTGCTCAGACACACATATACACACAACCACATGCACACATCCCTTCCCTGAAATTCAGACATCCATAGTTTTTGTAATCTCAATCCTCTGGCCATAGTGATTGGTTCAGAGATGTGACAGAAGACAGCCCCGGATCCTGGAGAGACTGCCGACCCCCAGTCTTGTCAGTTACAGTGGGATTTAAGAAAAGCCCATAGAACTCTGGTCCTGAGATGGCCACTGTTCTTTAAGGTCACACTACTTGCCTCATCACCACAAACTGCTGAGGTGCCAAAAGGAAACTCCAATTAGAACCGACTACTTATGTGCCCCAAAAGACCATCCAAGCTCGTCTCAGCATGCTTCTAACTCACCAGACAGCCAAGTCTCCTAGGTCATCTGCCATTACCCAGTCTCCTTAACTTCACACTGCACTGTACATCCCAGAATCTGAGCCAGTCACCCACCTCTTCCCAGTCCCACCGACCTTTCCACTGAGCCCTTTGGAACATGCAATCTGTCATCAACAAAATCCTGTATCTCCTCCATTTATTTGAACATTCCCTAATTATCTTGTTCTAACTGAACCCTGCCTTGACATTCTAGTTTTCTGTTAGAGCAAGATCAAAGAACTGTTTAAAGAGAGTATTAGGATATAGAGGGTTTTGCTGATGACAAACCTGGCTGAGTCCCTGATCACCGCTCTACCCTGCAGTCCTCTTAAGAGGTGGCCATTTCTTCCCTAC